GGGGGGGAGACCATTACTGCCAAGAAATAAATATCAGCATCTTCACTGATTAGAAAAAACAACTCTACTGTCATGGCCACCCACAGCCCTACAAGAAGAGAAGAAAATCGCATCAATGTTGTATGTGAGGGTGGGAGAGCACTACAAAAAAAAAGGACTGAAACTTTGATCTAACTTTGCAAAACAGTCCCAATATAGGTAGTGTTCCTTGCAAAGCAATTACTACAAGCCTTGATCTTCCCAAATCAACTCACTTTTTTATATGTTTTTAAATTAAGGACAGCTTAAAAAGGAGAACTATGGGCTAACCCTTTTTGGCTATAAGTTCTATTCAGGGTCACAGGAGGACATATGAGAAACAATGAATAAAAAGGAGAGACCATTTTAGGCTGGTAATACACTGAATGAGAATAAAACATTTGGATTCCTCTCCGTCGAGCTATTGATTGGCTGCAGTCACTGTTCGGCTGAGAATTTTTGAACTTGGCTAAAAGTCAAGCAGTGTATGGCCAGCCATAGTACAGAGGGTTCTGGCAGGCTTCAGGAGGTAAGGTCTTTGCCTGGGTACATTTTCAAATTTCATACACATACATATTTCATGATTAACTTGCTAAGATGTGACAAATTAGCAACTTCAAAAGACAGATCTGTTATTTGTATGCAAGTTGCATAATACATTAGATGCAATAAGCATATCTGCACCTGTTTAAAAATGGGCTCTTTAGCACTTCTTAGTAACAGCTAACTGCAACAGATGTAAAGCATTTTTAACTAGGAACAGAGATGCCTGCAGTTGCGGATGAAGAGAAGATATAGGCAGGCAGACATTCGCTATTTGGCCGCAATCACACAGAACTACATTTGAATGCAAATTGCACATTAATATGTAGCTGCTTTGATAAATGTCCCCACTGAGCGACATTTAACAAAATGGTCCTATTGTTAGCAGTTTTATTTTTACCTATAAACTTTCTGGTAAGAGATAGATTTATTTTCTGTAGCAATTAGTGTAATAAATTAGCTGCTATAAAAGTGAACATATCTGCACATGTTTAAAAAGGGGTTCTTGTCACTTCTAGGTTCTGCGACAGTTCTGACTGAGAGGGAGCCATGGCTTCGTTTAGCGGGGGTCGTGACGGCGCCCCCCCTCAGTCCTGCGCCCGGGGCAAGTGACCCCCCCGCACCCCCGGTTGTTACGCCACTGGACCTTAAGGCCTTGTTCACACCAAGCGCGTTCCTGGAGCAGTTACAGACCAGAGCAAAACTGCGTCCAATGTATTCCAAATGGTATTTTTAACTCCAGTTCACATCGCAGTGTTACGTTCCAAAGCAGGTCAAAAAACTGCAGCAGGCCCTATTTTAACTGCTCTGGAATGCATGCAAACGCCTCAAAAACGCATGCAAACGCCCTGGAACGCACTGAAAAGCCCATTTTAAAACTTAAAAAAAAATCCCCAAAAAAACGGCACGGAACGCATCAGAAACGTGGCAAAAAATGCAGAAAAAACACGGTACAACCCACTGGATGTGCAGAAACTCATGCAGATCTGCTCTGTATTTGGTGTGAACAAAGCCTTAGGGCCTGTTCACACGACGTCCGTATTCTGTGCTGACCTGATCCGTACGCTCCTGCACTAAATATGCATCCAAATGTATCCCTATGTGTTTCATGGGCTACAGTTCTCACGTGCGCAGTCCGTTCATGACTGAAAAAAATACTGCATGCCACATTTTGTCCGGTCAGGAAACGCACGAACGCAACGCAAAGCAAACAGAACACAATGCAGCCAAGCAAAAAAAAAAATGTATTCTTGCTCCACTTTTTATGATGTCAGAGGCAGTCGGAGTGGGAGATAGACAGACAGGTTGGGGTAGAGGTAAAAAGACATGAACTGCAAACATTTTGAACATGCCCATTACCTTTCCATGGACATACGAGTCAAGGTAAAAATGTATCCGGGTCAGCTTGCAAATCCTCATATTAACTCCAGAACTGACCCTTGGAGTCCCGGGGGCCACAAGATCGGGTGTACCCAATAACAACATCTCCTGCAAGCTCGTTCTCTGCAGATTGCTGTAGCCAGCACCAACAACATGCCTGCAAACATGTGATACATGTCTGATCACCAGCTTTACATACACAAAGGGAAGTAGATGTTGAAAAAACATCTGTCAGCATCCGGACCGAAAATGCATCAAAAACACACTGCATGAGTAGCACCGCGTCTGCAGATCCGCACCTGATCAGGACCTGAAAATCATGTGAACAGGCCCTACATTGCTAAACAAACGCTCGCAGTTATGGCACAACAGAGAAAAGTAGGCAGAGAGACAATACTTGGCTACTATATTTGAGGCTTAAATTGCAAAACTGACCTAAAAGGCGTTAACATTTGGAACGCAAATTGCACATGAGGTAATGTAATTACCACAACTGGTTTAATGAAATGTCCCCCACTGTAGCGTTGGTCTGCAGGCCAAGGTCTTGTAATTCAGTCCAACCTACAGGAACAAATAGGGGCTTTTTCTAGAAGGAAATATGATTTCTAAAAGTGGTGGATACTACGGTGCTTTAAAAAAAAACATTTCCACAAGCATGCATATTTCCTGATTGATCAGCACTCTGAGCAGACTACTGGTGTAAAATAAAAAGTGTCTGAGAAAAGTTCTCGCTCAACTGGTGCACTTGCCCAAAGCAACCAGTCAGCTTCTAGCTTTCATTTTTTTCCCCACACAGCTTAAAAAAAATGGAGTTTGTCTCAGACACTTTTTTTTTTAAGCAAAAGTTATTGTTTTAAAAGTTAGGGAATAATTCCTCACCTCCTGTAGATGCAGCTCCTTCCCATCGGCAGTCCCTCATGTCTTGAACATATGTCTGGTAACTTGCTTCAATGCATTTCTCCTGTGTGGCTTTTATAATGGTGTGAAGGACTTCAACATATCTGTCATATGGGGAGCCCCATGATTCGTTCGCCATAATATCACAAACAACCTGAATGGTGATATTTGTGTTTTTCACACCCTAAGTGGGGGGGGGAAGGTATAAAAGACCAAGTTTATTTTAACTTTACTTTATTTTAACATAAAACAGGTTTATTCAATAAAGCAATGCAAAGACCATAGGCAATGTGCACCAACCAACCAGTAGTCATTTAAATGAGTCATATCAACAAAATGGGTTCAGATTGGCGGCTACTGGTACATAGATTTTTGCTCTTTACCAAACTGAATATGCATATGTGCCTATATATAAAGTTTGTAATTCTTTATGTAAGGGAATCCATGTTTGCTCATTACATACACTACTCGGCTTTGCAGTGCTATGTAATGGTTGTGCTTTACAGCCTACCAGTCTAAGAGTTGGTCAAATTTTTGAAAACATTCTGTGTGGCGGATATCTTATCAACAATTGTTAGAGCCCAACTGCACCGTTAGTTTAAATCCACTAAATACATTCCAGGTGCATCAAAACAAAAGATGTGCACATTCTTACAGCTCATGATATGTTCTCCCTTCCCATTGAGATTGAAAGAGAAGAAAGGTGACTAAGAAACCAGAATTTCAGGAGCCCGCGGTGGAACTACCAGGGTCGCAGAGGTCTTAGCTGCGACTGGGCACTGGAGTTCCGCCACTTAGAGGGGGCCCAGGACAGGAGGACGGGGCCCGTAGTAACCGCTGATTACCAGGATATTTAATATCCCGGTAACCGCTAATATCAGTACTGGGACCTCTTCCTCCTGTCCTGGGCCCTGCATGCTTCACACTGCTCCCCTCACCTTGTTCCGGGCGCAGCGTGAAGAATGATCGAACCGGCGCAGCAGCCAATGAGTGGGAAGCAGGTTATCCCAGCCCCCTCATCACACAGAACTGCTGCGGACCGTAGAACTGCCTGTGTTCCATGGAAAGCTCCAACTCCCTGCATGTCAGAGGCGTGCTGCTGAGCCACATTTTCCTAGTCACCCATCATATATTGAACATGGAGGATTCTTGCAGTTAAATGAGGAATGTATGTAGGAATTAAAACTGTGATGCTGAGATAATGATTTTTATACAAAGCTTACAGTAGTAAGAAGTATAGCAGAAAATGAAGACATTGATGGTAGTTATACTACAAAATAACTACAGCAAACAGAAGGGAAATATCACAATATTTAAGGTCCCCATTATGTTATTATGTTCAGTGCTTGGCAGAAGCTATAAATGGGTTTCCAACTTCTAAAGTAAAAGGAGTAGAACCACTGTGAGAAAGTGATGGCACATTCAACAAACTAAGCAACTGGTGTGGTTAGATCTTGGCCTTGACAAAGTCTCAGAAAATGTATAAAGTTTAATAAAAAAAACTGTAGAAAACACATAGAACACAGAATAGCATGATGTGCAACTATTTGAGTTACCAATTCTTCAGAGAAAGAACTTGAGTTGTTTTATGAAAATTAAATGTTAATATTATGATAATGTCAGGCCCATCTGTGACCTAAATATTACACTATTCAATCCATCCACTTTTAACCCGGATTTCGTTGAGTAGGGAAGTTTCACAACATTTTTACAGACAAAGTTGGAAGGTTTAAGAGCAGATCAGATTTTATAAACTAAAGACCTTAATCTTCCACCCATGCAGATTTTAAGAGGCTTCACGTCGTCGTACACACCATTCAGTCCAACACAAACACAAACAGAACAAAATTTGGCTTTTCCCTTCCTTAACATGGGAAAACACATTTAATTTCATCCTGGGATACAATGTTGGAAGGAACAGAAAACCACAATGTTCTGTCTGGAAATAAGAAAACGCTAACATCAAACATATGATCAATTTAAATGTCAGGAGGTTGGACAAAGTTCCAGGGACTTAGGAAACTTAACACTTCATAATGTTGCAATAGAAGAATGAAGAATTTGTAATAGAAGGAAGTCACGTAGTAAAAGAAAAAAAAAAAAAGGAAAGCTTAGCTGAAAAGTAGCAAAAAAGGATATTACTGACCTTATGCTAGTTTAGCATATAAAACAGAACATGCTAAAAAATAAAATAGAAAATATCTAGAAAGTAGTGCTATATTTTTTATAGTGGTTTAGTATAGATTTTGGTTTTATAAATGTAAATTATTTTTTTTAACTTTTTTCCCCAGGTAAAAAGGAAATATTGAATACTAAAACAGTATTATGTGGTCTAAGGTAGAGCTTCAGGCTACTTTACACATTGTTAGCATTGTATTCTTTAACATTTGCTGAAGGAAGCTTGTTGTTTACAGAACTGAATGTGTCATTAAAACAAACAGTGACTCCTCCCTTATGAAATGGTGAAAATTCAATCAGACTAAATGGGAGCCTAAAAGCAAGCTGCTCTACTGTGTTGTCTCTTAAGCGAACCCTGAGCTAATACTCCGAGATTGCTTTGTTGAGTATTAACGGTTTATTGGTAAAACTAACATTGCATATAATTATGAGCAGTCAGGAATTACAAGAAAGAATAGGAGTTTGCTATGCAAATACATTTTTGCTGCTGCAAAACAAGCACACATTGAAAAATAGTACAGAGAATAGGGTTTTGTTGCACCACATCTTAAAATGACACTAAACTCAAGGAGTTAAATCTTTAAAAAAAAAGTACCTTAGCCATTAACAAAAATGTAGCTTACTTGTGCATTACCCAGGTGTAGATTCTCAGATCATCTCTGAATGGGTGTCAATACTGTCCTTCCTTCTGGAGGGTGGCTACTTTTGTTCCCTATGGTCCCCATGCGTGTTGTAAAAGTAGCCACCACTCCAAGCTCGTTCTCATGATAGACTACAATTTCAATACAAATTAAACTAAATATGAGAAGGATCCTTATGTGAGCAAGCTTGGATTCGGTGACTACTTTATAACACACACAGGGACCATGGGGGAACAAAAGTAGCCCCCCTCCAGAAGGAAGGACAGTGTCAGCACCAATTCAGAGATGATTTGAGGATCTACAGCCGAGTAATACACAAATAAGATATATTTTGTTAATTAAAAAAGGTACTTGAATGTATTTTTAAGATTTAACTCCTGAGTTTAGTGTCACTAAATCCACAGCGATACAGTTTACATTTTACTTGTGTTAACAGGGGGACTCTAATGTCATCTTTCAAGGAATAAACAAAACGTGTACTCATGGGAATCATTTGACACCTAGCCCAACTGAAAAACCCAGAGAACTGGCTAAGGGGTCCATTTATAAAAAGTCACAGAGCCAGTAACCATGCAAATCATTATTTTAGCCACTAGAGGTTCCTATTATAGCCCAATACATTTTTTCATTTATTTTAAAGTCTCACTCAAGGCTGTTAAATTTACCCAAGCAGCGCTTCCTTACTCTTTCAGAGTTCCTCCTCTCCATGCAACCGCCCCTCTGAAGCGGCTCCACTTTGCTGCCTGGCTGGTTGCAGCTCAGTCCTGTTCTGTGTTATAAAATGGGATACAAGTCTTCTATATTTATTTTCCCATCACACAGATTTACCATTTAACAACTTATCTTTTTGAGTGTGTTTGACAAGTTGTTCACAGATAACTTGGTTTAGATAGGAGAAAATGATCCCTAGTTTCTCATACTCTGGACAATTATCTTGTCTATTATACTACTAACATGCAAATATCCCAAATGTGTGATTACATACAGATGTTCCCTTCAATAAAGTTTACCCTTCTGTTGTACTCCAGAGAAATAAAGACGTCATATACGGCATTCTCATTCTAACATTTCACAAACAAACACATTCCTTCCCATAGCGGTAACACAAAGACCCCTAATCTTCCTCCTGAGATTCTGCATTTGTCATGTAGGTCAACGTCATGTTTTAATGCGTCAGTGGGACTTCAGTAAATTTTAAATTATTCAGAGACTGTAATTTAATTATTTACATGGATAGTATGCTGGTGTAGGCACCAGCAGAGCCGTAGCTAGCTCCTTTTGCGCCCGAGTCAAGAACAGAGAATTGTGCCCCCAACACACGTGTGATGGCACGCGACGCTGTGTGTGTGGGATTTACCATTATCGATTTTTATGAATGGGTAGAAGCCTCTATACTGAGGCTTCCAAAGATTGAGAAACTCATGAATGAACAGGAAGTGGGGGCATGATTTTGTTGTACAAAATGTTCAGTGGTGATGGCAACATCGGCACTAAACTTTTTACTCCAAAACGTAACAAGGACTAGAGGCCACCATCTAAAATTAGGAGAGCGGTTACATTTTGGAACTCTGCCACAAGCAGTGGTATCTGTAAAGAATATTGATTTGTTAAAAAAATCGATTAGATACCATCCTAAGAGACCGTAACATACAGGGGTACAGGTACACTTAAATACTAGACCACACCGGGACTCATACACATGCACGCACACACTCAAAAGGTTGAACTTGATGGACCGGTGTCTTTTTTTAACCTCAAATACTATGTAACTATGTAAGTGAGGTAAAGCACTTCCTGCTCATTCATAACTGGGGACACATAGCAATACGTGTCCCCAGTTGTTTACAAAAATGGATAGATGTCACCAGCACACCAACAATTTTGTAGTCCAAAAAGGTCATTTATTGGAACGTCATGTCACCAACACTAGCGCTTTCGGGGCCATGCAGGGCCCCCTTTTTCAGGCTCATCAGGCTGAGCCTGAGGAAGGGGACCCTGCGTGGCCCCAAAAGCGCTATTGTTGGTGACATGACGTTCCAATAAATGACCTTTTTGGACTACAAAATTGTTGGTGTGCTGGTGACATCTATCCATTTTTGTACTGTGTGGCGGCGCTATCCGC